GGACACACACACACACACACACACACACACACACGACAGCTGGTGTAACAGAGTCATTAAAGTGGTGGTGAAAAAGGGAGAGCTCAGCCAACAGTACTCAGCGCTACAAGCATCAAGCAAAGATTAGGACGAATAGGTTCCATTCAACAATTTCAAAAAATTAAAGAGGGATGCTCAGATTGTGTGTGTGATTTGTGTTTTTCGCAAAAATGTGGCGTGCTGCAATGTTTATCAAATTTGTCTATTTTGGCAAATGTATTTTGTTGTACATGGTTGTCTGCGCGTTGTTGTTTGAGCTGCCGTGGAAAAAACTGGATGAAATTTTAATGTCTTTCATTTCAAGTTTGAGCCCTCATGTCATACGACCCGTTTGTSTAAACTCCAACCAAGTGTGTCTCCAGCTCTCTGAAGTCTGTGAACCTRAGATGATCTGTTTTGTTCCTAACTGTCACTTTTCCCCACCATGAACTACATGCAGAAATGATGTAGGTGTTAGACCTTCTTATGACACGATTATATCAAACTGAGCTGCAAATTATGTTCACTGTAATTAAGACCGCTTCTCTCYGAGAACTATACCTTCATCAAAATTTGTGAGCAGAGGTTAAAGTGAGACTCCACTGTAAGAAGTTATTGTTGCTGATTTCTCTAAGCAGACATGACATAATGAACACTGTAGGGGTCTCCTTGAGTGGGGATCTATCTGCAGCTGTAGTCAGATAAAAATAAATGCTAGTGGATCCATTTAATGCATTGCAAACTATTGGTTATAGYATAAAAGAACAGTAAGCCTTGCATTGTACACCAAAACAATGAGATSATTTGATGAACATGTGTTAAAAACTAGCATAAATTATGTTAAAATTGTCAAGACCTTGGTTTGTTTTTGTCCAGTTTTGTACTGCACTTAAAAAAAGGTTAAATATTGCAGTGCCACATTCAGGCCTGGCATAGTTAMTAGTTTTTGGGTTGTTTCTGTGTAGATAAACATTTCTAGGAATGATGCCATGTTTGAGGACAGTTTTAGAAATGACAGATAAAAGATGCGGTGGTTAGAGTTGTCAGCAGCRAGAAAGTTGCAGGTTCAAAACCTGRCTGAGGCCTTTCTGTGTGGCATTTGCATGTTCCTGTGCATACACTCTGTTTTCCTCCTCTCTGAATACTTCAGTTTGCTCCTACAGACCAAAAACATGCATGTTAGGTTAACTGACAATTCTATATTATMTCTATGTGAGTGGGGGTGTGAATGATTGTGTCTGATGGACTTACAACCTGTCCAGTGTCCCTCACCTCTCATACAATGACTGATGGTTGGGCCCCAGTCACCCCGCAACCCTGTRTAGAAAAGTGGGTAAAACCAAACTGGGATGGCTTTTATTTTATCTTCTTGCTTTTTAGAAAAAATAAATAAATTCCACAATTTAGTTTTGCAAGCACTTGGTAAGAGTAGAAAGACAAATTGGACATAAACTGCAATGCTAATAGTTTTGTTCATACTTTCTTAATTAAATGCCGGTTTTGATAGAAGTCTGGCTCAAAATAATTTTGCTCAACTTTTTGTTGGCTTCTAAGCAAACTGTGCCCACTGCAATGCTGTGCTGTTTGGCTTTGCAACTGAATACATGCCATTAATGTTAATTGATTATTGGAAACATAAATGTTAGAACTTTTAGGAAGTAGTTTGTGCCAACAAATCGACATCAGCAGTGGGCACAGACAGTGAGAATCTACTTAAATTATAGTGGAAAAATAGCAAATTATCCATCAATTTTCTAAGTTAGTCAAATGTAAAAAAACGAATATTCAAATAGGTTGTGGTCATCTCGTATGAAGACAGCTGGTGCCGGTCTCAATTTAGCTGTAAATATGCAATTTTAAGACTTAAAGATAAGAGGTTTGTCTTTTTTATTTTGATTTCAATATAAAGTTCATTTCAAATATGATGTTAAAATTCTCACCATCTTTGTTCCTGACATGCAACATATTCAAAAACACCCAAGTTACTTCATAATAAAGCCTAATTCCTGCAGGCACCAGGCAGTACTTACAGCGCTGTTTTCTGTATTTCTACCAACTTTTTGCTTTTTGCGTTACAACACAACTTAGCAAGTTGTTCTGCAACAGTTGAGATGAGTGTCACGTCACACTCAAAACATTAAAAAAAATATATATGTACATATTTTTTTATCAAATTAGTTTTGCAAGCAAGAAGGGATCRCTTGTGAAAAGTGGATAAATAATTAAAGCTCTTCTCTATGTTGCATAGTTCATGGTTCTTCCCATCAGACACCTGTTGTTATGCTTCACTTTTCTTGCTTAAAGGCGAGTGGACTCTGTGGAAAATGTACCTGCATAATAAACGCAATGTGCACCGTGCAGCTTAGTGAACCTTATCTTAACTCTGGGTTCCATTCATGATGACATGAACTATGAAATCTAAATCCACCTACATTCTGTAGAGGAGACCACAGAAGGTTTCTCTGTGACCCCACTCAGTGTGGGTTTACAGTATGTGCTGACTGTAGCTTCCTCCTATATCTGCTCTCAGCTACAAGCAGCTGTTCCTCAGAGGGCTAAATATAATAAGTGGCTGCTGCTCCCTTTCCACTGTATTTTGTTTATTTTTGTTTTGTCTGAAAATGTATGCTGTGGCCATGTGTCAAACTGTCTAACTATGTGAAGAGTAGCTGTTACCTCCTGTAAGAGGGGGAAATATGGTGAAACAGTATTTCCAGGATATATTGACTGTAAACAACATTTTACTCTGAGTGACAGCTGAACAGTATGATTCTAAATGCATTGTGGGCACATATGTCTACCTGTGGGGATTGATTTTTGCTGAAGAATAACTAAATGAGAACCTTATAAAACGTCTTTAAGCTACAGAAAATAACTTTTAAAAATACTAGTTTAAAATGCTGGCACCTTGGGTTGTGTGTTCACCAATTTTTGTTTGGGTGAGAAAACTAATGTAGAAAAACTGAAAGGCTTACAAAGTAAAATGTATAACCAATACTTTTGATTTGTGGCTAAAAATTGACATGTAAACAGTACACAGTGAAAGGTGTAGCACTTAGCAAGATGGCTGCCATGAATCTTGTCGTCAGTTTTTTCAGTTCAATCAGTGTCCACCTAAGATTTTTTCACTGGTACAGATGTTTGTTTAGGTCCAAGAATACCACTAGTTGAGCCAATGTTGGAAGATTTTGACCCCAACATGTATGTTTCCTGTATAGAAGTGACACAAAATAGATTTTTATGCATCTCTTTTTCTTTCTGTATCGTTACTGATGACAAAATGCATTAACCAGCCTTTTAACCCCGAGGACACAACACTCTCTAGCTAACAAGTGCAAATAAGCTCTTGCTTTAATGCATGGCTAATGTGAGCAATGCACAGTATTCACTTGGCTAAACATTAATATTTCACACTTCCTGTCTCTGAGTCTGTACGAATATTTTGGCAAGTTGGTGGTGCTTAGCAATCAAATACTGAAATGTTACCTCCAGATGAGATAAAATCAACACAGTGGGATAAACATGAGCTTCAGTGGCTGGAGAATGATTGGTTCTTTTTGTGTCTCTTTTGTATTTACAGAATAAAAGAGTGGGTGAACCAGATTCAAAAAGATTTGATCACATTAACAGACTCAGCCAGCGGCTTGCAGAACTTAAAACAGGTAGGTGGTTTCCTGCTCTTAGGTTGGTTTTACAGCAAACTTAGATCAATTTGATTTCCCTTAAAGAGAAATTTACAATTATTGATCTAAAGTTTGACAAGTTAGTCACTGAGAATCATTTATAACACATACTTAGTGTGAATTCCAAGATTTTATTAAAAATCTGACTTTGTCATTTCTCCACATCAAAGTTTCTTGATTTATAACTCTGCGATGAAGGCTAAGATGTGTTCCTTTAATTAATGCTGTCTTTGTTTGACATGTTTCAAATATTTGAAGTGAAAAAAAAAAATAGCTTCACATTCTTGACACCACATGAGAAGTATTTTGGACCAGTTTACTTCTTGGTCAGCAAAAGGGATGTTTATAATTTCAGTTTCCCACAATAAATAAAGCATCTGTAYGTACTTGGAAGAGATGTAGCACTGAAATACATCAATTTGTTTTCAAAAAAAAGTGTGTTTTATCTGTCGAGCAAAATCCCTTTTGACCAAATCAGAAAACGAATCGAAATTAAAAACATGGATTCGGTTTAATTCAATTCAAACTACGCCGGCGCAGTATTCACAAGTGTGTGTCTGAACTTTGTTTTCTAATTAACTCTTTCTGTGTGACTTTAGCTGTCGCATCACCAGTCTATATATAGTRGCTGTTTTTAATTAGACATAGTGCTGCATCACTTCTACTGCTGGCAAAATGTACACACTCCGATTTAAAATCTGTATCATAACTTAACAGTGATGGCTGAAGTCTACACACACACACACACACACACACACACACACACACACACACAC